ATATTAAGCTTTTTTTTTTTTTTTTTTTTTTTTTTTTTTATTTTTTTTAATTTTGATACCCTTTAGATCATAATTGTTCTTTATTTCATAAATTACGGTTTCATATTTTTAATTTTATAATTTCTGCATGCCATCTTACCAGATTTAAACTGATGATCTATAATCCGGAATCGCCGAAGTCCCGACGAGTCCGGATTAATGACTTTTGACTGTATTGGTATTTGAAGATATGTGCTTGAGATTGTGACAATGTAAGACAATAGAGCTCTCACAATTATCATTACAATGGAGCAAACTCAAAATTTTCAAGTGGCAACTCACACTTTTTCTGCGCAAATTGATCATCGTACTGAAAAGCCATAAATGGTATTGGAATGCTGCATGTATTATGAAAACTGCCAGCACAAAACATTTGCAAGGAAGACCATTGTAAAGCACTAATGCAGCATAGTGAGGAGGTGCATTCGTTACAGGGATAGGTGGTAAAAGCACCAATCACAGAACACCATGTGCAAAGTAATTCTTGTGGAATATCTTAAGTAGTATGGGAAGACTGTTTTACCCATCAGGTGTTCGAATGTGCCAACATGATGTTACTGCCAGAGAAATGAGATGAACTGATAAAGCTGTTTTATCCAAATGAGAAAAAAGTTGCTGAAACAGTGTAAGTTTTTTGTTAAGACAAGGCCTATGTTTTGTAAAAACTACATTATTTGTTACAAAAATTTTTTAAAAACTAGATGCACATGTGATAGACCATGATCCGCACGATTATGTGTTCCTTTTGAAGTTGTTGGCGGGAGTACAGAATACAATTAATGCAGATCAATTATATAATGCAAGATGTATTGTCTGCAGTGTGAATGTACTGAAAACCACAGTCCTCAAATTTTCTCTTCTTTTCTGTGAATATTTCCTTATTGATTCCAGTGCATTCAGATGTTACAACCTGGAGATTAATAACAGTGTGTCCATTTTGCAAATCTTTTCCTCATAAGATATGATGAAGATAGCAGGTAGCCATTATGGATATGATGGAAGAATGAAGCACATTTCTCCTTAACTGAAACATAATATCCAAGAACTGCATCCACTTGACTGACAGACATCTTCACAATGTGGCATAAAAACCTGTACGTAAAGTTAAAAGTGACTGTGTGATGCAGCATGGCAAGCACATTAGTTCTTTGTCCATACTTCTAAGATATTACTTCCACAGGTATGAAAACGTGCTTCATCACAAGTGCTCTATATACAACAATGTTGCGGGATTATGTTATTCCAGAATTTCAGCATTGAAATTTCATTAATGACATTGTATGGATGCAAGATAGTGCTTCTCCGCGCATCGGCACATGTGCTCGACAACTGCTGCAAGAGCACTCTGGAGATAGCATGATGAATCAGCACAATTAATTCATATTGAAGCTAAATTGCATTAAAAAAGAACATGCTGTCAGTTTAATGGTATTACAAAGGTGTTGTGTATTTTAAGTTGCTTCTAAACAACCAAATGATCAAATGAGGTGTTTATTGCCAACAACTTCTGAAATCGGAAGGAGCAATCAAAGAGAAAAGGCCAGAATAGGCAAATCATAAAGAAATCGCTCTCCACCACGATAGTAAAAGGCCTTGCGCATCTTTTTCTGGAGTGAATTATTGGAATTGATTACGAAGTGATATTACATTCCCCATATAGCCTGACCTCCTTGCACCATCAGATTATCATTTATTTCAAAGTTAACAGAATTTTTTTAAACAGTAAAAATTTCACTAAAACAGTGAACTCAAATTGCTTTTAGTTGAGTTTTTGTTGACATAGACATAGACTTCTGTGAGCATGAAGTTATGAATTTACCAGAAAGATGGCGAAAGGTCATTGAAGTGCATTAAAATATGAACAAAGCAAATTAAATTAAGAAACTCCTATTATCAGTTATGGTAAGACCAGATTTTAATATTGTTCTTGTTATTAGTATCAAATGAGCTAATCTTTTAAAAAGGGCCCATGAGTGCCCAAGCAGTAAAATTGCTGGACACTAGCAGTTGAGCACATGTTCTAATCCTGGTGAATGAGCTGGCTGCATGAGAGTTCTTGTGGTTTTCTTTTCAAGAGAATATAAACCAGTTTCTTTTTAAATGTCCTCCACAAAGGCAGCCTCTTCTTAGGCAGATAGCCCTCGTTGTTTACCCCTAATTAAATAACCTAACTCTTCTTTTTACTGTCACTTATTATGTAAAGCATTTTTATTCATTTAACTTTGCATTAATTTTCATTAAAAATCAGCATACAGCAGCAGAGAGTTAAAAATGAAATGCTCCCCAGGTTTTATTAAAGTATGCAGATTTGTTATTTGAGAAAATGTTTCATTAACACATAAGTTGTTGGGTGCTTTGCGTCAGTGCGTTATGGCAGGAGCGGGCGATTTTTTGAAAAATCCTCGCGAATTTTGTTGTTATGTAAAATCACTATAAATTGAAAACTACTTTGAATTTTTTAATGAAACTGATTTTCTCAACTTAAAATGTATTCTTCATTGTTATTATGAAAGATATGCACTTTTTGTATAAATGAATATAGAATATACAGTTGAAAGTACACACAAAAAAAAAAAAAAAATTTATATTTTTCATCAATATTAATTATTACCGAAATTTTTCAATAAATAAAAAACTTAATGAAGTAAATAATGAACACTAATAATATTTTATAGTATGATAGCTCTCAAAACATTTACCTCTGTGATTCCGCAAAATTGACACATAAAACAAGTTTCACATGGCACTTTTTGAGATGCACACACTCGACATTGTCTTTGTGCAAATTTTTTCTTTCCGGTTCCAACAATTTTTTCCAGAACATGTTTTTTCATATCCATTGACAATCTTCCTGGTTGATCTTGTTTAGGTGCCCTTTTCCTGAAAGTGGATGGTCGTGGCTCCTGATTGCTATCTTTGGTTCGTAATGAATCAGTAAGCCAATGCAAAACTACTTCATATAAAAATTTCTTATATTTAACTTTGTTGCTTTTTGTTGAATTGTAGACAACAAAGGAATTGCACAATCCACAATTTATCATATACATTGTTATTTGTTTTTTCCATTTCATCTTCTTTCGTATTATTGAATAGTAAGACAAATACTGATCGGCATGGGTGACACCTTTCATAAAATTGTTGTAATCAATTAATGCATTTGGTATAGTTTTTTTTTTTGGTGTGTTGTTCTGTCAATTTTATGACTCTCTTTCATTTCCGCCGGATGTATAGACAAAATAAGGCCCACTTCTTTCTTTGAATGCCAGATTTGAAATAAAATATCCCCTTTACGGCAAAAGATTCTCTGTCCTTTTTCTTAGATTTGTCTTTTTTAAACACTCCAGTAAACAGCTATTTTTTCTGGTGGTTCCACATACTCTAATTTTTTCACAAAAGGGCTTAAGTGTTATCAACACTATTATAATAATTATCCATATACAGATGGTGGCAGACATCTGTATATGGAGATACTTATCTGTATTGTCTTCTATCGGCCATGACCCCCTGACCTGAATAAATTGCAAAATTACAGATGTACCCTGTATCGCTCTCACTTAACATTCTCACTAGTATGCTGTATTTTATGAGTTTTCCCACATTATAAACCCTGAAAAATAACCATCCTCTCCAAGGTATAATGCCTTCATCCAAGGATTCTTGTTGTTTAGGTTTGTATATGTTCATTAATTTTGGGAGAAATTAATCAATTATGAGCCTGACGTTGGTCAATCGGTCTGATTCTTTGTTGATGTTCTCGTTATTGTTATGATGCCAAGCCTTCCATAGTTGCCAAAATCAAACCCTAGACATTGTTTTTGCAAAGAATGGTGTTTGTGTGCAAGGATCTGTGGTCCAGTACTCGTCTCTTTTATCTTTTCGAACTTGCCTCCAAGAAAATAATTAGTTTCAAAAATTTTTTCATTTCTGATATTGTGATAGCCTTCTGTTTCACACTTTTTTAGGTATTTTGAAATTATTTATATTTTGGTAATAATTCTTATTCGATTCTTCTACAAAATGTGTGAACAAGTGTAATAAACAAGTTCAACGCGTAGGTTTTGGATTCGGGAAAAGTATCAATATTTATTCCAGGGCGACCTAAAAACTTCTCTTAAGATCGGCGGATTATCAGTCGATGACCATTCTTCTTCATGTTTGTCAGAACTTAATTCAGTCTGATATGGAGTTCAACGGTTAAATCTTTGAGGTCGTGGAATAATGTCTTCATCGTCACTCTCGTTCTCACCCTGCCTATCAAAATCACTATCACACGAATAATCTGACAAATTGTCTGCACAAATTTCCTGGTCGCATTCGTATCTCATTTTATCAGTATTTAGAATATTTATATATAAAAAAACAACTATACCACTTCCACTGGAAAAACAATTACTGAAAGAGTTCAATAACAAATTTGACTCAATTATAAAAAATACAAAATATCACTATAAACTCATGATTTTTGAAAATAATATAGGTTTGCAATGTTGAAAATACCATTCTTTCTAAGGAGACTTCTAAACACTGAGAACTACTCGAATTCACTAAAAATAAAACGATTCAAAATTCGTAAATTTGCATGTATAATGTGTTGTGATGAGCTCATTTATCGCTATTATTTATGACCTTACCGTCCGATACCTAATCTATTGTGGGAATGTTTATACCTGCGTAGTACTGTGAATAAATAGGCAGCATAACAAATATACACACTTGTAGTAACTCGTATTAGCTACGTTTTCCGCGTTCTGCCACCAGTCCATAAAAAACGTATTACGTGTCCGCCCTTTGTGCACAGTTGACAAAAAATGTAATTTTACATGTCTCAACTACAATGTGTTAAAATGCAATTTACAAGGTCACTATTAAAATTTTGAGAATGAAAGTTATTGTTCATTTGGATAGTATTGTTAATCTCTTGTCAAATTTTCACAACTTATTCTTTATTTTGGTGCAGATACAACACATGGGAACCAGAAGAAAATATTCTTGATGTCCGTTTATTGGAAGCATTTGAAGCCAGGTAATTACTGTTCACCACAATTTAATGTTGATAAGTTTTCCTTCACGTAAATTTTTTCCATTAAGAAACATTATAGTAAAGTCTCATATAACTGGTACTAAAATTATATAAAATCTACAAATCCTCAAAACCATGCACTTCCTTTTATATTTAAATTAATTTTTTGTTTATAGTTTCATTCTCTCTAAATAAAAATGTAATTTATATTGGAAAGAAGTGATCGCAAAGTACCGTATATGTGGCAATCAGGAGGCTGTTCTTAATTTATTGCTCACAGCTGTTGAGTGCTTTTAGTGTTAAGCAGAGGTTTGCTTGAGGTGACATCTATGGATCAGATCAGAAATGCAGTGTAAGAGGTCAAGTTGGCTTCGAGAACACAACCTGAGGCTGTGACATGGGAGCGATGGCCCAGAAGCCACTGGTGATTGATTGTGTGCAGCTGTTCAGTGCTTTTGCTGTTAATCAGAGGCTTGCTCATGACGACATCTACGAGTCAGATAAAAAGTGCGATGCAAGATGCTACGTTGGCTTCTGGGGCAGAACTTGAGACTGTGACATGGGAGCAGAATCCCTTTGTGCACAGGATTCAAGAGTTCTAACTCTCAACATTGTGAGTATTGAGTGGCTCATATGCCGTATATATAAGGTTTATCTGTTTCTTAGCCTTGCTAAAAAGGAACTCGAAATTTTACTCTGTAGTATGAGAATATATCATAACACATTTATTTTTCTTTAATCCGTACTTTCACCAGAGACATCCATTCAGATTACAATTATAATATTTTTAGTGTTTGTGATAAGGAGCACACCTTGCATCTGCATTACTGCCAATAAATATGGACACCCCAAGGAGAAGTTTTTGTAGAAATACAGGAAGAACAGAGACCATCTGTTGAATGTTAGTGTTTAAAGTCTTGAAATATGAGGGTTGAAACTTTAATAGTGGCAACACAGCTGAAAAAACACTACGCAACAAAACCAAAGAATATCGCGTATACCACACGTGAATTGCATACCTACCTTACCTCTCAGCAAAAAGACTCGTCCTGCCTACATCACGCGCATACAGAGTGATGCGAAGAATGGATCCTTATATTAGCTCGTGGTCTAAAGTAAGTGTTGTCAGGATGTTTTCAAAACAAGAACAACGATGTTGGATAAAAATTGAATGTGCCAGAGGTTGTACAGCACGACAGTGTCATCAAGGGCTTCAAGAAGCTTGCGGGGAATCTGCATTGCCTTACAGAACCGTAGCAAGATGGGTGAAAGCATTCAATGAAGGACGAGAAAGCGTGGCAGACGTGCTGTGGCCAGGTCGTCCGAGTGTCAGCGATGCAGACGTGCAAGCTGTTGCCCCACTAATGGACAGTGATCGCCGCAAAACGATTCGTCAGCTTGCCCGACAAACAGGATTAGTGCATACGACTGTGCTGCACATTCTGAAGGAATGCCTGTCCATGAGAAAAATTGCTTCATGATGGGTTCCGCATCAATTGACGGAAATGCAGAAATGGCTACGATACGATGCTGCCTGAACCCACCTGGAGCGCTATGAGCGCGTAGGAGATGCTTTTTTACGCCGTATCATTACGCTTGATGAGACTTGGGCCCGATCATACCAACCAGAACTGAAATGCTAATCAAACGAATACCGTCATCACGGGTCACCATGACGTTTGAAGTTTCGTCAGAACCCCAGCAATGTGAAAGTGATGGTGATTCTTGTGTACGACTGTGATGGTGTCATCCTAATGCGTACCGTTCCCTCACAGCAGACTGTCACTGCGCAGTATTACTGCTCATTTTTGGAGCACTATCTCCGACCAGCTTTGAGAAAAAAACGGCGACACTTTCTGCAGAGTGCTCCTCTCACTTTGCATGACAATGCTCGGCCGCATGCAGCGCAAGCTGTGACTGATTTATTCAAGCGATGGGGCTGGGAAGTGCTTTACCATCCACCATACTCCCCAGATCTAAGCCCATGTGACTATGACTTAATTCCTAAGGATGAAGGAACCACTTCGTGGCACTCGCTTCCAAACTGTTCCTGAGATTTTTGCGGCAGTAGACCGGTCCATTCAAACTATTAACAAAATAGGTGCTGCTACAGGTATTCTGTGACTTCCACATCGTTGGAAACGCGTTGTACACAATGCTGGCAATTATATTGAAGGACTGTAAAACATGGTGACATGAATCACTTTTGTATTCCTTGCAAATAAATAGTTGCCACTATTAAAGTTCCAACCCTCGTAAAAGAACAATTATGTGTATTATCACTCATTAATGTTCCGTTATATGTCTGCATACATGCCTGCATTTTTTATTCCAGTCTCAATAACAGAAGTGTACACGAATTTCTTTTGTTTTCAAATGGCGGGCTCAAGCCACTTATAGGCATTGACCACTACTAAGGTCAGAAGCGGTGGCCTGTTTCTAGAGTGTCAGTCTAGTAACTCTCATAAACTAGTAAACTCCAGAAAGACTACAGAGGAATAATCTTCATATCTTAAACAGTGTGTGTCTACAGTTAGAAGTCAAAAGAAAGGTATAAATAGTTCTTTTATTTTAACACACACACAAAAAAAAAAAAAAAAAAAAAAAAATAACATTGTGACCCGACTTGGATTTACACAAGCCAACACTTCCGGTGTAACTTAAACAAAGAATTAAAGGATCTCTAAGGAAAAGAATGAAAGCTTCCATAGACGCAATGTAAACCTGTTTCGCCTCTGCGCCGCTATATCGAGGAGCCACGGCTATGCAGTGAAACAGCAGCGCAGGGTGGAATTTAAATAGCGCAGTGCGAGGAGATAGTAATTTTTTTTTTTTACTTTGAAAGTCCTCATTTAAATGAATCACTATTTAAATGAAATAAATTTCTTAATACTTTTCGGGATTCCAGAGACTTTTGTTTCAGATAAATTGTGTAGTTGATATTTTATCTTCTAATCTCTAATCTTCTTTAATTGTCTAGATGTTTCGCATAGAACACCCTAAAGTTCAATTGCAAAATAAATGAAAAAAAGATGAATAAATTTGATTATTTTTATTTTCCTTATTTTCCCCCCTTAACCCTTCTTTCTGTAAATTCACATAATTGTTTTTCATTTGATATAATATCCAGCATTAATTTATAACTAACATCAGAATTAATAGAAAACAAAATTAACTACTGCCGTGATGTTAGATTTCTAACAAATCTGCAATTAAAATATGCAAAATAATTTTAAGCATCTTCACAAATACCAAGAAATTTTTTAGACAATTATTTGGAATGACCATTATGAAAACAATGAGCAAATTTTGCAGCCAAGAACCAAAAGCATTTCACTTAAATTAACAAATACAAAATTACACTTAAAAGGCCTTTTAAAGAATTTCACATAAATTATTAAAATAAGTGATTTCATTATTTTTTCATAAAATATTTAATACTTCTTACATCTATTAATATAAGATTAAATACTGAACTTGAAAATAAAACCTTCCAGATGTTATTAAAACCTGGGAAGAAATTTTATAAATAATCCACTGGATCAAATAAATATTGTTGCAGCTCATCCTGATGAAGATTATTTCAATTATGAAATTAGAAATTGATTTTTTTAAATAGCAATTACAAATGACTATTTTCATCTTCACTATACAATAATAATTCTAAAAATGCTGTTTAGCTTGGATTTTACATAATTTAATTTTGCAAAAATCTATTTAATCCGAATTATTCAACCAATGAGTACATTTAATTCTGTAAGCTTAAAAAAGAAAAAACACATACCATACAATTCATAAAAATTTTTATAACTCCATATTTAAAATTTTACAAGCAAATTTGCATAATAACTAACTGAAACAAAAAAAAATAATTAAAAACAATTATAAGTACCCCTAAATAAATTGAAAACACTGAATTCATTATAATTATCTGACCTCAACTTAAAAAAAAACCAGAAATTTTAATTATTTGGAATGACCATTATGAAAACCAAGAGTCAAAAGCATTTCACTTAAATTAACAAATACAATATACATTAAAAAGTCTTATAAAAGTTGCACATAAATTCTAAAATAACTAATTTCATTCTTTTTGTTCATAAAATATTCAATACTTCTCACATTTATTAATAAGATTAAATACTTAACTTGAAAATCAAACCTATAGGTATTAAGAAGTTTTGTAAATAATCCACTGAATCAAATAAATATTGTTGCAGCTCATCCTGATGAAGATTGTTTCAAATTATGAAATTATAAATTAATTCTTTTAAATAGCAATTACAAGAAATGCCTATTTTCCACCTTCACTATACATATAATAATTTTAAAAATGCTGTATGCTTGGATTTTACATAATTTTAATTTTGCCAAAAAATCTCTTTAATCCAGAATTATTCCACCAATGAGTACATTTAATTCTGTAAGCTTAAAAAAGGGGAAAAAAAAAAACATATCATACGATACATAATTAATTTTTATGAATCCATATTTAAAATTTTACAAGCAAAATTTGCATATAACAAACTGAAACAGAAAACAAAATTAAAGAACAATTAAAAGCACCTCTAAATAAATTGAAAACACTGAAATACATTATGAATATCTGACCACAATTAAAAAAATTAACATAAAAATCAATACATAATAATATAACTCAAAAGTAATTACTAAACATAATAAAAATATAAACAAATTTTTCAGAAATTTAAAACAATCTGTGAGATCTTTTCCAAAACTTAAAATTTTAGTAACAGTCAATATTTCGACTAATAACCGTCAATTTTGTTGCACAGCATCTTTGAGCATAACATGACAGGCGATCCAAACCATCAATTTTGTTGCACAGTATTCTTGAGCATAACATGACAGGTGGTCCACTATTATTGATGAGTTATTTCTTAGATGGTGCTATTGTTAAGCATATTGAAATAATAACAGTAAACACTGTAGATACCTGTTTGTTCAAATTTTGTTGGCATTGCACAGGAATGTAAATATCGCATCTTTGGTGAACAGTAATCGTGATCTTTGAAATGTGACGAACATATTTGTGCAGTTTTATACAAATCAGTAGGTGATTTATTTAACAAGTCTTGATTACTGTATGCGGCTGCCCATTGTTTTGATCTATAAAAATGAAAAACATTAATTTTATATTTTAAATTTCAATAAATCCATTTTCAGTGTTAGTAGAAAAATAGCAAACTAAAAACATTAGTTACACAATCTTGAGAAGGGTTATATATTTTTTAAGAACAAACATTAAATTATAATTTAAGGAAAAATTCATGTATATAATATGATTTATTACATTTCTGACATATTTATACTAATTCTCTATTATTTTGATCTATGAAAACAAAAAAACAATGTTATTTTCTTTAATTAAAAGAACCTCTTTTCAGTGTTATTAGAAATTTAACCTTGTTAAAAATTCCTTTTACATTAGTAACAAATTCTGAAATGATTTCATTTCATCTAATTTTATTTTGATGTACGGAAACCAATAATTTTGCAGTTATTGTGTTAAATTGTAGTTACCGGTCATAGTATCTAGTTAAACAATTTAGCATTTCTTTGTACAGTTTTGTTAACAATATGATTAAAAAAGGATAAGGCACCAATAAAAAGTACACATTGTTCGTAAAGTGCATCTTTAAAATGTTTCCTTCCTTATTCACACCAATATGTAGTGGTTCCCTAAAGTGTTCGTACACTTATGAGTTTCAGTGAAATAGTGCTGTGAGAATTTTTTAATATCTATAAATTTATCTTAGCAAAACTCTATAAAAGTATTATAAGAATGCAGTAAAACTTTTGGGGAGAATAACAAAAAAGTTACCTCGCAAAAATCTTCGTGCACTTTAAAGAAATCTGCAGACACTATTACGAAATATTGCAGTTAAATTTCTGTCAGTTTTTGTAGGATATTCTGCAGCATTCAAGCTTGTAATACATAAATTACAAAAATTATCTTCTAAAATATTAAAAGAAAAAAATTTTTTTAAAAATTTGGTTTTATTCAAAATCATTTCGAGATATGAGAAAATATTGGGCTTTATAATCAAATTCAATTCCGGGCTACAGCGCATTTTTTACAAGTTTTTAAAGTGTATAAACACTTTTGGGAGCAACTGTATCACAAGCACAGTTATCTTGGATATTTACAGAACACTGAACTATTTGTCTATGATGAGGAACACTTAATGGAAAAAACAAGCTATTTATTTAAATTATTCCAAATACATGAAATATTTGCTTCTCTATCAAAAATTGAGATATATATATATTAATAATAATCAAAGCTTAGTTTCTTTTAAACTTTAGAAATGATTTACCTAATAGGATCCTTAGGAAATCTGAAGAATTTCCTGTCTGGTGTTTTTCGACGACGTTGTCCCACAAACACAACAGCGATACCAGGATTTGGGTTCGTTTGCTAAGTAAAAGATAGATAGACCGAGTTAGTCTGTTATTCACCACACCACATCAAATATTGAGAGAGAGAAATCAAAAATTATATTTTTATAATAATGAATATAAATTTTTCAAAAATAATCATAAAATACGAAAAATTGTATATAACTATCAATATACTAAATTAAAAAAAACTGTATATCTTCAAGTGGCCACTAATATTAAATAAGTTTATAAATTTTCTCAGATAAAACTATTCGGTAATCTATAGCATAAATTTAAAGCTGAATAAAGCATAATACAATTTATTAATAAAATTAATTTATGCAATCATACATGCCATTAGCTGCAGCATTATTATAAATGGCAAATTTATTCCAGATCGCTCGTTTTGTAGTAATATTATTATTAGACTTTAAAGCTTAAAACTCACTAATTTAAAAATTTAGAAAGAAATACCAATATGCCTGCACAAACTATAGTATTTGTTTGCCATATGATTAATTATATAAATTAAGATGATTCATATGCTAAAATGCAAAGTTAATATTTTATTTTTATATTATACTAAAATGCAAAGTTAATATATTAAGTAACTTAAGAATGAAAATCTAGCTGCTGTGTTATACAATGAGACAAAATATTTTTGGAAGCTTGGGAATCAACATTAAAATGTACTATACAAAATCAATTTTTAAAATCTATGATAAGGTATTCGAATTAAAAAAAGCAAGCTTACCTCACAGAAAGAGAATCGGGTGAATTCCGGTGATCGTCCTTGCGAAACATCCATCTTATGATCTGCTTAAATAACTAAAACAGACCTTTGACTACAACAAAGAACTGAAAAAAAAAAACTTTCAAAGAACCTCTTCAAACAATGCGGTAAAAGATTGCTAATATGGTTGACGACATGCCAGTTTCTTGCCTGCTATTTCGCCCCTTTAAAATAAGCTTCAGGGACATACACAGTGTCTCTTCAGTCTGACGGAGCCACATTTGCCTCGGGAAACCTTTACTTCTTCTCCTTAGAGATTCTTTGACTTAAATACATAATGTTAAACGAATTCAAATGTACTAGTTAGCCTAATGGCTCACAGGATAATTTAAACGCACAGGAAAGACTCTAATTTGTAGAAAACTGATCAGACAAGCCAAATGGCTAGAAGCACTCAGTCCCACAAAATCAAACTGCTAATAGTCACGGTAGAACATGGCTTGAAATAAGCAGAACATGCTCTAAAAATAACTTGTGTAAGCTTCACTTAAATAGCACTTCTTTCTGAAAAAAGAGTGAAAAGAGAGTGACAGGAAAGCACTAAAAATTAACTATTAGTTAAAAGTAAATGGATAAAACCTCACATGTTTATTATGGATGCACCTAACTGGTGGGTGACTGTTCTATGAAGAGATGGACAAATTACATCCTGTGCCTTCTCTGGATTTCGAACACAGGCCCTCTAGTACGACAGTCAAGTGTCACTAACCATCAGGGAGGCTGTCAGTGCCAAATGTTTTTGAAAAAAAAAATATTTTATTTGTTATGCTTTACTGAAAATTCTGTTGTTAGTTATTTAATCAAGATAAACTTTATAAGTATAGATAAAAGTCTTAAAATGATTTATCATTTTTTTAGGATGTACTTAAATTTAATTCATAATTTTTAAATTCTTGTACTTGACATACTTTTATATAGTTAAAAGGAAGATTTAGATCTGTAATTTATATATGTTTTCTTGAAATGTATAGTAAATTTCATATTCCTTTTACATATTTTTATACATCGATGCTTTTCTATTATGTACCTGCGATGCATTTTGGCAGGCCTTTTTAAGTGTAAATATTTTCTAGTTATAAGAATAGGTCATAGATGGCACATACATGCATACACATAGTACTTTTCTGTTATACACCCACCCACATGCCGATATGTATGGCAGATGCATTACGGAAAGGTACCTCTGCATCTGTTGACAGATTAAGGAATATGTATCATATTTTATTATGCAGATGTTTATATTGATAGTTTACTTATATATTATTGAAAGAGTAATGCATTGAGACAAAGCTTTCAGATATTTGAAATAAGAGGGAACATGAGTTAAATATTTCTCTGTGTTTATTTGGTAGTTAATAAACTTTTTTTATACATTATGTCTCTTTTAATGCATATTTATTTATATCCTGTTTATATTAAATACTTTTATCTGTTCAATTTTTTTTAGTCAGAGCAAAGACCACACAAGCCCACGCAAAGGCCATCGTGGAAAAAGGGAACGAATGGTGTGTACTTAATTCTTTACATTAATTTTTTCTAAAAATATTGAAGAATTTATCACTATTTGAAAACAATTCCTGCTTTAATTAAAATGTGTCTTTTATACCTTCCACATTATATACCAGTTTACAAAATTAAATAATAACAAAAAATTCAGTGTTATTTTTATTATGTATGGAAAGAAAGTTCTACATCTTTATGTAGATTGAGATATTTTATGCTACTTGCATGTCACTGAATTGTACAGTAAAACTTTTTGAGGGAATGTGTATATAATTAAAAATCTGATGTGGACACGACATGACTTGTATGACCCATTAAATTATACACATTTTTTTGCTGCATTTCATTTGAACTTATTTCCTCGAATTTTATTAGAGAGATATATCTTACTTAACCAATTTATGCTCACTTTGCTGTAAGGCAGAAATGCATAAAAACTCAAAACATCTTCAATAAAAACTATAAAACACAGAAAAACATATAACACCAAATACAGTTAAAAAGCTAAAAACAGTTTTAAAAAAATTTACTTTCAAAAATTAGACTTTTTGTGTAAAAACAACCAGTGGGCAGGAAGGCAAAATTTTAGTGTACAAAACTGAAAGTTAACTTTTGCTCCCACCTAGCAAAAAGACACTGAATTTGGTACACCAACTGCTTAATTCACTACTCAACTAATAGTTTCAAATGAAAACAAATGGCGGAGTGGTTAGGCCTAGTGCCAGGAGCCTGGTTAGGCCTTTGGTATCTTGGGCTATTTTCCATGTAGATTCATCCATTGTTGTGTTTATGGGTTTCAAAAGACAAGTGTTTTTTGCAGTTAGTCATATTTTAGGGTGCCCCTTGGATTATCGGCAAGTTGCTTCATTTATTTCCAAATTGTTATTTCATTTATGGTAAGCTGAGTAGTTGAATGTTGTGGAAACCCTATTATGACATGATTGGTTATGTGATTGCGGTGAATTTGACTGATGGGAAAATATTTTTAAGGGCTTAATTCTGCATTGGATGTCAGTTAGGAAGTATGTTGCTTATTTTGTGCTGTATACAGTAAAATGGCTGTATGTGATGAGATTAATGTATGATTTGGAACAAAAGGAAGAAAAAGTTAATTGACTGGTGTGTAAATGAAGGTTTAGTAGTAGAAAAAAACGTGTATGGTTGAACGTAAAGATCGTTCAAATGGCTTTGAATGGGTTTGTCACAAGAAAGGTTCATGCAAGAAATGCCATTGACAATCCAGCACTATGGAGGACATTTTTTACTCTTATTTTTATGAATTTATGTGGTGACGGCAGTATGCATATTCTAGTTCAGATAATTTTTAGAAAGTTTTTGGATGCTGTTAAGGAATTTTGTGTGCTACAGACTGTAGGCACAGAAATTTCTAAATATGACAAGTCTATATTTTCTTTTTGTAGTGCATATATGTGATAACATGTATTTCCTTTTTTATGTTATTTCATTGTGTGATTTAAAATGCAGTTTATTGAGCTTGGAATGGCTACAAATTTTGTTCAGTTTTGGGGATGAGTAACTTCGTTTTAAAATTATATGATGTCATCATTCTCCTGATTTTTTTTAAGTGAAAATAGATTGATGTGTATCTGCACAAAATCAAGGGATGCACAATGCCGAGTTTGTGCAATTCTCTGATGTTTTTTTAAGTGAAAATAGATCGATGTGTACATGGACAACAAGTTTGTGCAATTCTTTGACTTGTTATTTTGGTTTTGTGTAGCAACCATCTTGAAATTGTATCTTGCTGGCCAATTGCTAATTTTCACCAAGGGGCATCCTGAAATATATTTTTACCTTTCTTGCCTTCATATAGTTTTGCTGCTAGTTCATTGAGAAATTCAGATATTGTTTGCGGAAAATGTTCATTATAAGGAAGGTGTTTTCTGATACAAACAGTTCATACTTCATGTCTCTACATTATCTTTGTATATACCAGCAGCTGCTTTGATGGTTTTTGGATGTGGCACTTCTTTCAGCTGTAACTGATTTTGTGATTTTATGTGTTTCACATCTCACAATGAAGGCTAGCTCTGAAAAGTTACACGATAAATACGTCTACCCAATGTTACATCGGTTATTCCTAAAATGAAGACATAATATGGCACATAACAAAATGCAATTTAATTACATGAAAACCTACATTAAACATACATTTTTCTGACTACGTACTAAGGAAATTATATCTCATTGCTACATTCTAAATTTTTCAAACATAACAGCTCATTACGTGATATCAGTCTTGACTTATTCGGTTTGGTGAGTGAAATGATGCCATTCGTAACATATCCTCCCTCCTTTTGAGTTGCTGGATAGCTATTTTAAGCAGTCACTTAAATTTAGTCTCTGTGGTGTCTTGAGAGCATGACCAGATCGGGTCATAATCTTTGGAGACTTTCTGGAATTGTCATTATCTGGATCCAGCAATTATGCTGGCCAATCATTTGAAGAAGAAACTTCTCTAGGAACAGGCTTCATGGGCAAGTCTTGACTGTCAATCTCTGGAAATAATTCGATAACTGGTTCAAGGCCAGTCTAAGCACTTTTTGAAATGATATCCTGATAGGACAATGTCGCTGACTTGTATACAATATATTTGAAGATTTTGTTGAGGCATCTGGATGAGTTGCTCTAAATATTAATTTCTAAAGCATTATCTCACACGTTCTGTTAACTTATCATAATACTTTATTCTTTTCCTCAAACTGTTACCATCAACCTCAGCAATATCTGCAACTTCTGAGTTCAGTCTGTTGATTAAGAACACAGCTGGAGTTAATGGAATCAGATCTTTGGTGTCTTCTGATAATTATGTAAAAGATAAAGAATTCGACTCTTTCACAGTCACATATTATTGTCACTAACTCTTCGTAAGTTATAACAACTTTTCTTAAAGATCTTCTAAGGAGCTTTTTCACAGTTCTAACATGTCAGTCCTACTAGCCTGCCATGGGAGGGAGAAACTTCTAAATAATATGTTGAACCTCAGCTAATCGATTTATTTTCTCCCAGTCTTTCTTTTAAGTAATTTGTAAGCACCTTTATTTTTGGATACAAATTTACTATATACATTGTTCTCACAATTTCTTAAATTCACGCACCCTCAAGAAATAATCTGCTGAGCCTTTTCAATAAATGTTTCTTGTTTTCTCGCGTCTAAAACACTTGTGACACAGTTATCTGCATAAGAACTAAAAACGAAGATTCTAATTTTTAAGCAATTTCTTCTAATTCAAATGACATATTTGAATTAAAAACTGCAAACACGAAATTTGGTCTGCCGGTAGAAATGAACTCGATGTGACACCGAACACTACTTTACAATGTCTGTAGACAATTTCCTCATTTTCAGAAGGATAGAAAAACTAAAAAATATCATCATTCAAGCACTATAGCCAACTATAAAAACACTTTCAGCTAAAAGTGCAATCAGATAACTTTGAAATCTATCAACAACATCAGGAATGAGCTCTATCAAATTAGGTCCTTTATATAAAAGATCATTTAAAGAACATTTTCCACTCTTTCTAGCAAATACTTCAAATATGGGTCTAATTTTTGTTTTTGTGCTATTGCCTTTAAAGATTGGCTGGTGAAATAGAAAATGAACATTTTCGGTGTCATCTGTAACCCTTTCAGTAACACCCAATTTCTCCCATTTCTGAAATACATGTTTATATTCATCCAAAATTAATTTAGCTCCTGTGCTGTGGCACATTCCTTGGTGAAGCTTCCAAATTACTTCTTTATTAGAAGTTAATTCCCTAATTTCTGATTTAAAAGGCAAGCACACTTCGTATCTACCATCCGGTAGGACTTTAAAACGATTTTTAAAATTCTCTACTACCCTAGCATACTCCATGTTTTTCTTTTTATTTTCAACAAGGTCTGAAATCCCAATAGTTTCAAACCTTCATAATTCACTGACTGATATGTTATTCGCTTGCAAAGCTATAACATTACAAATCAGGTCCTTACTTTTTTCATTTGAGAAGTATTACATTTCCCCATCAAAACATTTCCTAAGTCAGTATTTAGCAAATACAAACCACAGTTCAATTTCACAGACTGCTCTATAAGAATAGCACCAATTGCATTGGCTCGTAGCAAGAAATTAATTTCTGTCTCTGGCAATTTCAGATCTTATAAATAAATTTCTTTCTCTTTCAATTCATTCAAAACATAAGTATCAGTGACCTTAGGCACTGTGTTGCAAATTTTTGTTCCGAAAATGCTTCCATTTGAAAGGAGGAAGATTCTTCGCTTAAAGAGCAACTCGGCAAATTATAATCACCTAACTGTTTGTTCTCTTTCTCTTCTTCCAATCAAGCCATGTATCACCTTGACTTTTCGCTGTTGCTTTAAGTTTAATACAGTACAAAGTCCGTAATCCGGACTCGTCAGGACTTCGGCGATTCTGGATTAGTTTTTCCGGATTATAGATCATCAATTTAAATCTGGTTAGATGGCATGCAGAAATTATACAATTAAAAATATCAAACTGTAATTTATGAAATAAAGAGCAATTATGATCTGAAGGGTATCAAAATTTACAAAAAAAAAAAAAAAAAAGCTTAATATTTATTTGTTTACTTTATTAAACATTTCTTTCACTGTAAGTTGTTTAAGTTGCTTCATTTTTTGTGCTAATACTTTCTCTTTAATTCTCTAAGCAGACATAATTTCTTGTTCAGTTATAAAGTTCCACTGTTCAAGTCCTGTAATTACTGTGTCTAGAAAACCAACTAACTTGTCAATCGAAATTTTTTCGTTTTCAATAACCTGTCACTTTCTTCACTATCGGAAGTGGTATTTTCTGGATCTAGAACCATACTGCAGATTTTCCCGTCCGTTAATTGATTGATGATTGGGGCATTGTCGTCGCAATGAAAAACTTCTGTTATATCATCTTCATTTATTACCGCTTCTCCACATTTCTTTACAAAATACAATATCTGGAAAATTTCACCTTTAGTTTGCGATG